GCTGGGTTTATGAAAAATCACACTATGGACATAGATTTAGATGATTCTCCCTGGATCAAATGACTATTTGTAAGACCTAGATTACTATAGCAACAGTAATAAACTACAAAGCTGTATTTACCATCCCAAAGGAATGAAACACATTTTATTTTATGATGAGTAAGAAAGCTTTATGGACTTCTAGAATACCACAAATAGGCAGTAGAAGAAATGATAAAGCAGAAATATACCACGGATGCTTAGAGGACAACTTTAGGATATGAAAGCCTTCCTGACGTGCATTTCAGGTTTGAATGTCCCGGGCTGAAGCCCCATTCCCTTTCTAGGAACCTGCAGTGGGCTGCCTTCAATTCCTCCATCAGCCATGCTTGGTGTCAACATTCAAGCACAGCGGTTTTCAACTGTGCAGATGACATAGGCTGAGCACGGCTCACAGGTGTTGTCTGACGTGCACGTTGTAGAACCTCGGTTACAAGGAATTCTGGGGAAAGACAATTTCAAACTAAGCTTAACAAGGAAAAAGCTTGATAAAATATCAGCTGGGAAAAATCATGCCAAAATTTGCTCTACAAATTATGTTCTGAAGAAAATTGCAGAATAACACTTGATTTAAGCCTATTTCATCCCTGGACCCAGAACTGTCACTCCATGCTCACTGCAACAATGACTATTGAGTAATAGTTCATATATTTTCTTCTTTTTGCAAATGCCTTATTCACATCTTCCTGATTTCCCTTTAATGGAAAAGAGGAGCAAAGGGAGACTCCCAGCATGAAATGTTATACATGGTGTTTATTCTGCTTTTGAACTTCAGAATATTTCAGAACATTTCTATTGTCATGTGCTTATTAGCCTTAGCTGCTTTTCAGAAGATCCCTTAACACATTGGGGAGGTTTGACCTTGGCCAGAACCTTGGGAAAACAGGGTTCTCTGACATTAGCCCTTCACTTTCAACATTTTTATGATTCTGGGGAATTTTACAACTAACTGTGTGGTACCTGCCTGCCATCCTCACTCTCAAGGAGGCCCCGGTACGTGTTGATCTCACACTCCAGCCTGGCGTTGGTGTCCAGCAGCACCTCATACTCCTGGTTCTGCCGCTCTAGGTCACAGCGGATCTCGGCCAGCTGCGTCTCCACGTTGTCGATCAAGCACTGCATCTGGGCCAGCTGGAAGCTGTACTGGGCCTCGGTCTCTGCCACAGTGCATTCCAGAGAGTCTGCCTGCAGAAGAAAAAAAAAAAAAAAGTAAAAAAAGGACTATGTAGCACAGCCTCCTGGACTAGACTGCATGTTTTCAAATCCTGGCTCAACACTTTTCTAGCTATGTGACCTTAGGGGAATTACTCAGCTTCTCTAAGCCTCAATTTTATCATATACAAAATGGGGAATGCTGAGTTTCTATCTCATAGGATGGCTGTGAGGATTAAACGAATTAATATGTATAAAGCACTCAGAACAGTGCCTGGAAAGATTTTAAGGGCTATCTAAGTGTTAGCTATTACTACCACCTCTACAGCTATCACAACCCACAACACACCTCTGTAGCTTAAGAAGGAACGTCAGCATTTGAGAGGAAATGTTGAGTACGCACTCCGGGCAGGGAGAGGCAGTATAGCGTGGTTAAGAGAAGAGGCTCTGGGGTTGAACCACCTGGATTCAGGTCCCACTTTTGCCTATTAAAGTTGCATGACCCCCTACCATCTAAGCCTCAGTTGTCCTTATCTGTAAAATGGAGTTAGTAAAGGTATTTACCCATAAGGTTACTGTGAGGATTAAATTAGCATTGTGCCTCTCACAGGACAAATGCTCAGTTAATCTTCATCTAATTATCCTGCACAGCACTAACATAGCACACGCCGGGGTGTTTGACCAGACCTGGTTAATGTAGCTTCTTGAATGCATGGTATTCTTGTTGCTTGGTTGGGGTGTAGTGAAGGATCAGGTTGAGGTGTGAACTGATCCTGGGAAATTTTAGCATAGTTGTAGGAAGAAAAGTCTGAAAACTATTCTTTGTTTTAGATAGGCTGGTGAGCCTGGAAAATTTGCCAGAATCAAAAGAGAACTCAAATTCATTGGCATGCTCAGCGCCTTTGGCTGAGAAGTCCCTGTCTCTCTCTGTTCCTGGCCCCTGTCTCGTCATTTCCGGAGGGTGCTATGGGATCGTGCTCAAGTCCAGGAGGGAAGGTCAGGGCACCTGGTGGGGCAGTACAAGCTGTTGACCTGTCATTCCTGCTTTCAGCTGGGTAAACAGCAGTGCTCAGGAGAGGCAAGGAAGTGTAATCCCTGCAAATTGGAAATTCAGCCCTTTGTCACATGAACTGTGAGTCTCTTCTTTGGGTGACGGAAGAAGGCAGAGTATCTCAGGTCTGCTTCATCAGTGACAAAACAGTTGTTTCTCCCTTACACACCAAGTTTTGCTGGGCTTGGAGCTCAATCTCCAGAGCGTTGGCCGTGCGTTTCAGTTCTAAGATCTCCGTCTGGCAGCCTTGCAGCTGCTCTGTGCTGGACAGCTGCTGCTGATTCAGCTCCTCTGTCTGAAACACAGGCACGGTTAGAGAAAGCAAATGAGGCAGAAGTCTGGAAGCCCGCTATTGTGTTGGCTCCAGGTGCTGACCAGAACAGCGAACCATTCTTCCACGTCTCTGTGGTTGTTGGCGAGCACCGTTTCATACTGACAACGCATCTCATCCAGGACCCTGTTGAGGTCGATTGTGGGGGCGGTGTCTAGCTCCACACTGAGTCGGTCACCAAGCTGTCCACGAAGCAGGTTGACCTCCTGAAAGTGGAAATAGGGCCAGGAATGTCACAAAGTGGTGGCAGTAAAAATCAATTTGACAGAATTCTATCGCAATGGCATCCTATTTCTGTTTTTTGAAACAGTGGCTAAAAGTGTGGAATTTAGATTCGGGTATTCTGGGTTTGAATGTCTTGTCACTACTTATAAATCAATGCCTCAGTTTTTCATCTGAGAAACGGATATAATAATAGTCCCTTTTCCGGAGGTATATAAGAATTAATATATATGTACATATAATTTAAACAAGTCCTGGCCCGTAGTAAGTGCTCAATAAATATTAGCTGTTATTATCAACATATGTTCAAAGAGAAAATGTTCTTTGTTACATCATTCAACTTTTCATTTTCTGACTCATCAACATAGGATAATCATGCACTTCATCTTTTATGATTTTAAGTATAGAACATTTAGAATCACGTAGAAATATTGCATGAGTATTCCCTTTTTGAAATGGACTTCGTAGTCTGCATTTATCAGTCCGATTTTCATACCTTCTGGACTAAAGTCAGGGTGGCATAAAGCCTCGAAGGAAAGCCATTTGTGGAATTACTCACCTCCTCCACAAAAGCAACGGCAAGGGAAGAGTTTGGTTCCTTCATACGGCATTGGCCAGAGTTATTTCACATCTATATTCAGAGACACACTGAAATGATCAGGCTGAATAGCAAGAGTGCCTCGAGTAATTTTGTTCCAGCTTAAGCAACATCAACCCAGATTCAATTTATACCCTTAGACATGACATCTGTCAGTTTAACCCTGTCACTGTTAGGGTCCGTCAGGGATTTTCCCACTGTCCTCACCTCCTCATGGCTTTTCTTAAGGCAGAAGAGATCTTCTTTCAAAGATTCCACGTGGGCCTCCAGGTCAGATTTGCACAGGGTCAGCTCATTCAGGATCTTGCACAGGTCACCGAAGTCACTCTCTACCAGCTGGCGAAGGGACAGTTCACTCTCGTACCTTTCGCAGCAAAACAAATACATCCAATGCTTACTCTGCTAGGCCCTGTGCAAAGTACTGGAGGTATACGGATGAATGACACGAGGACTCAAGGGAACAACATACCATAATTTCTTTTACATCCCAAATAATTATAAAATGGAGTTTTGTGAGAATTTTTAGCTTAACAATATTACATAGAGACCATTCGTGCTGAGTGAGAGTGTTTATGAGAGAGAAAGAGAGGAAGAGAGAGAAAAAGACAGAGGAGAGAGGGAGAACCATAAATCATTTTCAAATTCAAATTAAACTTACTTTGACCTAAAGTCATCGGCAGTCAGTTTGCAGTTGTCAAGCTGTACAGCAAGTCTAGAATTCTCCGCCTTTGTGCACAAAATCTGGAAAGTAAGTTGTTATGTAATAAATGGCTCTTCGAAAAAGTACTAGATATCTCTTCATTTAATCGCTATGTAACTATCCTTTAAAGTATTTATAAGAAAATATAAAATAGCTTTCATCCTGCTTTTCAGAGTAACAGTGTCACTCATGAAGAAAAATGTGCCAATTTAGCAACAAAATACAGAAATAAAATGGCTTGTTTTTTATGACTACAGGACATTTTGCAATATTGCTTGGCAGTTGAACACAGTTACATTTTTCTTTATATGTTGTTTGTATTATGACTGTATAGATCCCCATCCATGATGATAGAAATCCATCAGTAAAAGAAAATGGTTACTATGTGAAATTATATGATTAAAAAGATGACATTTCATTTTCTGTGTTAAAAATAATACAAATATACAGTGTTA